ATGTGGAAAGTTGTATAGAGCTACCATATATATTTCCCCCCGATTTTAAGTAAATGATCCACCAAGAACTCAAAATGTGGCCGATATGCACAAAACATACTGAAATTAGTATAACCTAACCTTTGACAAGTTTCGATGAAATCGGTTTAGATTTCGATATAGCTTTAATATATATATATATATATATATATTTGCTTCCGATTTTAAGTAAATGGTGTACCAAACTCCTCATGTTTATCAGATATTTATCCAAATAATCAACCGATGTCCGATTGATATTTGTTTTAAATTGATTTACATAATTTCGTCCCTTTGTAAGAAGCAACTCTATAGCTGGCCAAATGAAAAATTTAATATTGGTTGCTGAAAGACATGTTTATGGTTCCAGTTTCATTTTACTGCTCCTTCAAAAATCCGACGTCTGTTAGGATTCATCTGTTGAATATACCCAAAGTGGTGAATGGTATCATATAGTCGGCCCGTCCGACTTTACTACATTCCTTACTGGTTTAAGAATATTTTAGGGGTCATTAAGGCGTGGATTTGTTAAAGAATATTTTTCCAGGGTCAATGTAAGGCGTAGCTTTTTTAAGGATTTTTTTTCAATGTCAAACTAAGGCATGGATTTTTATACCCTTCACCACATTGTGGTACAGGGTATTATGTCTTTGTGCATATGTTTGTAACAGGCAAAAATAATCGAGATAGACACATGGTTCCTTTTGAGAATATGCATAGAATCACATTCTAAGTCGATTTATGCATGTCCGTCCGTCTGTCTGTCCATGTTAAATTGTAAACAAAGTACAGGCCGCATTTATTATCCGAATTGGATGAAAATTGGCATATTGAAATTGGGAAAAATCGGCTGAGATTTAGATATAGCTCCCATATATATATTTAACCGATTTAATGTAAACGGTCCCTATATATCTTTCGATTTGCACGAAATTTGGTACAGCCTAATCATTTAGGTCTAGAATGATGTCTGCCAATTGTCGTGAAAATCGATCCAGATTTAGATATAGCTCCCATATATAGTTTCGTCCGATTTCATTTAAATGGTGCACCAAAATCCCTATATATCCTTCGATTTGCACCAAATTTGGCATAACGTACTGAAGTGAGCCTAGAGTGATGTCTGCTTTTTTCGTGAAAATCGGTCTAGATTTACATATAGCTCCCTTTTATTATAGATTGATTTTAAGTAATTGACGCACCAAGGAACCAATAGGCTGATAGGAACAAAACTTTCTGAAATTAGAACAACCTAATCGTGACAAGTTTGTTTCAAATCGCTTAATATTTGGATAGAGCCTCCATATATATTTTCCCCCGGTTTCAAGTAAATTGGTCATCAAACTCCTCATGTTAGTCAGATTGACATCAAGTTTTGCACAACTTACAAAATTTAGCATAGAATTACGTAGTTGCGTTTTCTAGAAGTACAGACATAGCCCAACGGATGACCTATTTATATTTGTATGAAGTCGATTTACATACTTTATGGATATATCTAGGTAGATTCACATTTAAATAAATATCAACTATTTTAGTTCATCCAATTTCATTTTAATGGTCCTGTTGAATACACCCAAAGTGGTGAAGGGTATCATAAAGTCGGCCCCGTCCGACTTTACTACTTTCCTTACTGGTTTAAATGTATTTTTATAAGACCAACACAGGCGTGGTTTTTTAAAGCATTTTTTCAAGGGCTATCTACTTCACGTACTTTTTTTGAAGACTTGTTTTTTTCATATTATAATTTATTTACTATACATATACAACAATATGTTATATCCATGCAACTATCCATCATCCTTCCCCCCAAAAGGATTCAAACTTTTATTTTCCATATTTTGTAAAAAATAAGTTACATCATTTAACAACTCCCGTCCCCACAATTATTTAAATAATTTTGTTAACCCTAAATACACCTTGGACACCTATTCAACACAGAACGATGATAACTAAATTATGTGTTCACTATTTGTTTACAACTAACTGGAGTCCATCATGTCGACAACTTTTGCTAGTTTACCTTTCGAGCTTATTAAAGGTAATTTCCCTTATTATCTATGGCTCCATGGTTAACTGGACTGACTGACTAACTGACTGTCCGACTCACTGTGTTGTGGTAAAGTTATGAAAGCTTTGTAAATATTTCATAAGACCATAACGATGACATTATGTAGATGACAAGTTTTGTACTATTTTCATGTGGTAAGACGAACGAAAATGCTGTCAAAACTTTCCAAACAGCTACCCTCCTGTTGGTCATTGTACGTACGTTGGACGAAAAGGACATGCTTTCCTTTTGCTGGTAAATAACTTGACATTGAAGTGAAAATCTCTTGTAATTCACTTTGTTGTACTTTAAATGAATTTTCAATTGATTTCTTTTCTGCTTCTTGTCCTTCTTGGCTTTACTTATGAATTGCAAATGATATTAAATTCGAGGAAATTGTGTAAAATAAAAAAAAATAAGAAATGTGCTTCTCATATTAAATACTTTCGTACTTCCGTCCAGAAATTTATGCGGAAATCATTACATTACGTGGTCTTCCTGAATTTTGTCAAAGGTCAAAAAATTGTTACTTTCTATTGGTCAAGAAGAAAAAAATGAAAGGAAATGTGGAATGAAATAATTACAAATTTTCGATATTAGCTTCCTTTAGTATTTTTTTTTGTAGAAACCATAAATTTTTTAAAAATATATTTTTAATGACCAACTGAGTCGTTGATTTTTTAAAGAATATTTTTTAAAGGACCAATTGAGGCGTGGATTTTTATACCCTTCACCACACTGTGGTACAGGGTATTATGTCTTTGTACATATGTTTGTAACAGGCAAAAATAATCGAGATAGACCTATAGTTCCCTTTGAGAATATGCATAGAATCACCTTTAAAGTCGATTTCTGCATGTCCGTCCGTACGTCTGTTCATGTTAAATCGTAAATATTTTCGTCCGATTTTAGGTAAATGGCGCATCAAAGTCCCTATATATCATTCGATTTGCACGAAATTTGGCATAGTGTACTGAATTAAGTCTAGAACGATGTGTGTTAAATTTCGTGAAAATCGGTTCATATTTAGATATAGCTGCTATATATATATTATTGTCCGATTTTAGGTAAATGGTGCACCAAAGTCTCCGATTTACACGAAATTTAGCATAGCGTACTGAATTAAGCCTAGAACGATGTGTGTTAAATTTCGTGGAAATTGGTTCAGATTTAGATATAGCTCCCATATATATTTTCGTCCGATTTTATGTAAATGGGGCATCAAAGTCCCTATATATCCTTCTATTTGCATGAAATTTGGCATATGGTACTGAATTAAATTTAGAACGATGTGTGTTAAATTTCGGGAAAATCGGTTCAGATTTAGATATAGCTCCCATATATATTTTCGTCCGATTTTAGGTAAATGGTGCATCATAGTCCCTATAATACCATCGATTTGCACGAAATTTAGCATTGCGTACTGAATTAAGTCTAGAACGATGTGTGTTAAATTTCGTGAAAACCTGTTCAGATTTAGATATAGCTCCCATATATATTTTTGCCCGATTTTAAGTAAATGGGGCACCAAAGTCCCTATATATCCTTCGATTTGCATGAAATTTGGCATAGGGTACTGAATTAAATTTAGAACGATGTGTGTTAAATTTCCTGAAAACCGGTTCAGATTTAGATATAGCTCCCATATATATTTTTGTACGATTTTATTTAAAGGGGGCACCAAAGTCCCTATATATGCTTGGATTCACACGAAATTTGGCATAGCGTACTGAATTGAGTCTAGAATGATGTGCGCTAAGATTCGTGAAAATCGGTTAAGATTTAGGTATAACTCCTATATATTTTTTTGTCCGATTTTATATAAATGGTGCACCATAGATTGCAGAATGGCATGAGTATGTTCGTTACAGGGAATATTGACATGCAATTGTAAGGGTACATATGTACAATATACCCATAGTGGTGAAGGGTATCACATAGTCGGCCCAGTCCGACTTTCCTACTTTCCTTACTGGTTTTTCGATGATCAACTGAGGATTGGATTTTTTTAAAAATATATTTTCAGGGTTATCTGAGGCATGCATTTTTAAAAAAATATTTTTTCAGGGCTATGGATTTTTTAAAGAATATTTTGTCAATGACTTCTTTTTCTTCTTTACAAAAATTCTCAAAATCAATTACAATTTGACAATACAATTTTATTGCAGTTCAATAAAAATAAACCAATTTAAAAATATTGTTGTTGTCTTCTTAGTGACCATAAATAACTTCCAAAGGCAATCGAAGTGATAGCTTTCTGCCATCTAATGTCTTTTGGGACGATGCGTGCCACAATGGAAATCTTTTAAAATTTCCTCTCTAGGCTAAGCGTGCTATTTCGGATTTATACTCTTACAGATGGTGTAAATGTTAATGATACCTTTGGGTGTCATTAGGATTTCGTCGGAAAAAGTAGGCGAATGCAAATGCTGAATGATAGAACCACAATAAAATCGTTGCTACATGACCATGACAGAGTGTGTTTAAAGTAAAAATATTCATTGGATTTTGTAATTTTTTTCTGATGAAGAATTTATCGATTTCGTTTCAGATATTTTTAAAACTAATAAATTTGGGGTAATAAAAGGAAGAATTTTGGGTTCAAAATTTCCTATGGCCAAATTTTCAGCCTACTCACTTTCAAATAATATTTGAAAATTGTTCTAAAATTTTACCAGGTTTATTAGATGTTCAACAATAATATTTCCATTTAATTAAACATGTGTAATGCACAATTACATATCTATCCCCATAGCAATTTATGAATGCTCTATCTCTCTCACACACACAGATTCCCTCTCATCATTATCCTAATTAATATCATACATTATAAACATACTTTCATCCACATTATAAATTATTACACAACATACCCATATATATATATACACATTTTAATATATATTTTCAAACTTCAATTATTTGTTTCCAGTCTACTCTGGTCCCGACCCATCCCTTTGGCATGGTACTTTGGTCCACAATGGGAGCGTAAATATGGTTATAAATGGCCCAGAGCTTTGTGTGATAATTGGATTCGTAACGATAGATTTTTGAGGTAAGTGAAAAATATGTTCTCATCATTTAGTGTTGTTGCTGTTGTTGTTTTAGATTGTTACATATGTTCGAGATTTGAGATGGCTATTAATGGTCTGTTGAACGTTGAACGAATGCCTGACTCAATACCTATGGGCAGGAGTGAAAATTGTGGGAGCAAAAAAAAAAAAAAAACAATATTGTAATATAACATGTGTTATAAACCACAAAAATACAACAGACTATAGGACGAAAACTGAGAAAACGTATACTGGAAGAAATTGCGAAGAGGATATAAAAAGCAACGAACAGGGTTTTTAAAGAATATTTTTTTAACGAACATAAAATGCGTGGATTTTTTAAATATTTTTTCCATAACCAACTGAGGATATGGACATACTCAAGCGTGGATTTTTGGAGAATTATTTTCCAAGGACCAACAGAAAGACGGATTTTTTCCAAGACCAATGCGTAGATTTTTAAAAGAATAATTTTTCAATACCAAGACCAATGCGTAGATTTTTAAAAGAATAATTTTTCAATACCAAGACCAATGCGTAGATTTTTAAAAGAATAATTTTTCAATACCAAGACCAATGCGTAGATTTTTAAAAGAATAATTTTTCAATATCAAGACCAATGCGTAGATTTTTAAAAGAATAATTTTTCAATACCAAGACCAATGCGTAGATTTTTAAAAGAATAATTTTTCAATACCAAGACCAATGCGTAGATTTTTAAAAGAATAATTTTTCAATACCAAGACCAATGCGTAGATTTTTAAAAGAATAATTTTTCAATACCAAGACCAATGCGTAGATTTTTAAAAGAATAATTTTTCAATACCAAGACCAATGCGTAGATTTTTAAAAGAATAATTTTTCAATACCAAGACCAATGCGTAAATTTTTTAAGGGCTATGAAATGCGTAGATTTTTTAAAAACAATTTTTTAAAGCGTAGATTTTTAAAGGCTATGAACTACGTAGATTTTTTAAAAACAATTTTTTAAGGCGTAGATTTTTAAAAGCGTAGATATTTTTAAAACAATTTTTAAGGGCTATGAAAGGCGTAGATATTTTTAAAACAACTTTTAAGGGCTATGAAAGGCGTAGATTTTTTAAAACGATTTTTAAGGCGTCGATTTTTTAAAAACAATTTTTAAGGCGTCGATTTTTTAAAAACCATTTTTAAGGCGTCGATTTTTTTAAAACAATTTTTAAGGCGTAGATTTTTAAGGGCTATGAAATTAGTAGATTTAAGGGAACCCCTCCCATTCTCGATTTAAATTTTTCAAAATTTTCAATGGGCTGATAAATCAATACCAATGCTTATTAAGGTTTGTAACTTTGCACATATATATTTGAAGATTTAAAAAGGAAGAAAAATAATTTACAAAAAATTTTTGTTGTTGTCTTGTTGTTGTTTTTTGTAATTAAAGAAAAGTCCTTATTTTTGATGGCGGGCATGATAACTCCTCACTGGAACATCGGAATCCGAAAATTCCAACGATGTTAGAAAGAGTACATGTCTGGCTCTCGTATGAACTAGGATTATTGACCTCGCTCTAAAATTAACAAAATGGCGGACCTTTGAAAAAATATTTTTGGAAAATCGCCGATTTTTGACCAAAAATCAAGTTAAAAAATAAGGAAGATCTTCACCGATTGGCTTTATCCTAGTTCATACGATAGCTATACACTCACAGAGAAACGTGTAAAAATTTGGAATCGATTGGGTTATTAGCTTTTGAGTTATCGTGCCCGCCATTCGCATAAGAGAAAAACGCGTTTATAGTTTGAGAAGCCCTTTAGCCGTCACTTAATGCTGACACAATAAATCGGCTATATCTTCAAGAGTTCTTGAGATTTTCACTTGAAATTTTGTAGGGACATTCTTGAATTAGTGTAGATTCGAATTAAATCAAAAAAATTTTTGACCCCGAGAATGGGGGGGGGGGGGGGGGTCCCCTTAAAAAAAAATATTTTATGACGTAGATTTTTTAAAAACAATTTTTTAATGCGTAGATTTTTAAGGGCTATGAGAGGCGTAGATTTTAAAGTGCTTCATAAGGGTTATGAAAGGCGTAGATTTTTATACCCTTCACCACACTGTGGTACAGGATATTATGTTTTTGTGCATATGTTTGTAACAAGCAAAAATAATCGAGATAGACACATGGTTCCTTTTGAGAATATGCATAGAATCACTTTCTGAGTCGATTTATGCATGTCAGTCCGTCCGTTCATCTGTCCGTCTTTCCATCTGTAGATGTTAAATTGTAAACAAAGTACAGGTCGCATTTATAATCCGATTTGGATGAGATTTGGCATAGGTCACTTATTTTTACCCAAGGACGAATCCTATTGATATTGGGAAAAATCGGTACAGATTAAGATATAGCTCCCATATATATTTTCGTCCGATTTAAGGTAAATGGGACACCAAAGTCCCTCTATGTCTTTCGATTTGCATGAAATTGACACAGAGTACTGAATTAGGTCCAGAATGATATGTGCCAAGTTTCGAGAAAATCGGTTCAAATTTAGATATAGCTCCTAAATATATTTTCGTCCGATTTAAGGTAAATGGTGCACCAAAGTACCTATATATATTTCGATTTTCACGAAATTTGCACAGCGTACTGAATTAGGTCTATAATGATGTGTGTTAAGTTTTCTGAAAATCAGTCCAGATTTAGATATAGTTCCATATATATTTTTTCGTCCGATTTAAGGTAAATAGTGCACCAAAGTCCCTCATTCGATTTGCACGAAATTTGGTATAGCGTACTGAATAGAGTCTAGAATTATGTGTGGCGAGTTTCGGGAAAATCGGTTCATATTTAAATAAGCTCCCATATATATTTTCGTCGGATTTTATGTAAATGGTGCACCAAAGTCCCTATATATTCTTCGATTTGCATGAAATTTGGCATAGCGTACTGAATTGATTCGTGAAAATCGGTTCAGATTTAGATATAGCTCCCATATATTTTTCGTCCGATTTAATGCAAATGGTGTACCAACGTCCCTATATATCTTTCGATTTGCACGAAATTTGGCATTGGGTACTGAATTAGAATGATATGTGCTAAATTTCGAGAAAATCGGTTCAGATTTAAATATAATTCACATATATAGTTTTGTCCGATTTTATGTAAACGGTGCACCAAAGTCTCTATATATCTTTCGACATGCGTGAAATTTTGCATGGTGTCTAGAATGACGTGTGCTAAATTTCGAGAAAATCGATTCAGATTTTTGTCCGATTTAAGGTAAATGGGACTCCAAAATCCCTATATACCTTTCGATTTAAACGAAATTTGGTATAGACTACTGAAATAGGTCCAGAATGATGTGTGCTAAGTTTCGTGAAAATCAATTCAGATTTAGATTTAGCTCCCATATACATTTTCGTCCGAATTAATGTAAATTGTGCACTAAAGTCCCAAAGTTCTGTACAATATACTGAAGTTACTATAATTGAACGTTTTGTAGAAGTAGAAGTATTTCTAACCACTTCTTTTACAGAAATGTTGTGTTTTTTCTGTATTTGTATTTACACTTAATGTTGTTGTTGTTCTGCATGGGGATAACAAAAGTGGTGAGGGGTGTCATATAGTCGGCCCAGTCCGACTTTATTACTTTCCTTACTGGTTTGTAAGTTTTTTAGTTCCGAATTAATTTTTTCAGTGTATATCAAAACACCCATTGACCGCTCAGTAGTGTGGTTGATGTGTTGGCTTAATTAAAAAGTGTTTGAAGTTAGGTTTCTCTGGCAGAACCTTGTCGGTGTATTCCTACTGTTGGTTTTGTAATTATTGCCATTTTAGCAGTTTTTCCTACCATGAGGTAGTTACAGTTGTTGTTCATAACTATGGTTGCCAGTAGTTAATTATATTGTGGCAGAGGAAAATGTGTGGTTGGTTGAACTCACAAACACAAAACCCAAAAGGAAAAAAATAGATAAAAATATTTTTTTATTATTTTTTTTTTGAAGTTTTATTACAACAAAAATACTGGTTAGATGAAACTCGTGTTATTGCAATAAAAATGGAAAAATTGTTCAATTGTTTGAAGAAAGTTTTTGCCCAACCCACAATTTTTATTGTTTCACTTGCTGGCTGCAAACGGCATTCAAGTGCACAACATGCAACAAATTTGCCATGATTTTGCATTGTGTCCATTGACTTTTTTGGGGGAGCGTATTTAAGTGAGGGTATTTTATGTCTTTATTTTTGCGTTTTTATTTAATTTTCTTTTCTATCATGTTTTAATTGTTTTTTTTTCAGAAATTTCGCTGCTGACTTACCCCTGTGTCCTTGCACTCTGGAACAGGCCGTATATGATAAGGGTCGTTACAGGCCAGACCGTGATTGTGACAAGGACTCAAATCCAACATGTTTGCGTCACAAGGGTGCCATCCATTGTGTGGTCAGTGGAACGCCAACGTAAGTAAAAAAAGTAAAAATTATTAGGGTTTTTTTATAGAATACTTTTTATGGGTCAGGGGAGAGGTAGATTTTTAACGAAGTATTTTTAATGGACCATCCAAGGCGTAGATATTTAAAAGAATTATTTTTGATGAACCCTCCAAAGCTTAGATTTCCTAAAGATTTTTGTTTGTTCAACACACCAAGATTTAAATTGTTTAAAGATTTATTATTATTTTTGGTGGACCCTCGAAGGCTTAGATATTTTTAAGATTTTTTTTGATGGCCATCGATTTTTAAAGAATTATTTTTGAGGGACCCTCCAAAGCGTAGTTTTTTTACAGAATTACTTTTGAATTACTCTGAAGCGTAGATGTTTTAAAAATATTGTTTTGGGACCATATAACCACCCGAATAGTAGAATATTTTTCTGTAACCGTTATTTTTTTTAAAGAATATTTTTTCTGGCCATACAATGTTTAGTTTTTTAAAGAATTATTTTTAATGCACCATCCAAGGCGTAGATTTTTCCAGAATATTTTTACTGGGACCATCCAAGGCCTAGATTTTTAAAGAATATTTTTTCTGGGACCATCTGAAGTGTTGAGTTTCAACACACCAAGATTTAAATTGTTTAAAGATTTATTATTATTTTTGGTGGACCCTCGAAGGCTTAGATATTTTTAAGATTTTTTTTGATGGCCATCGATTTTTAAAGAATTATTTTTGAGGGACCCTCCAAAGCGTAGTTTTTTTACAGAATTACTTTTGAATTACTCTGAAGCGTAGATGTTTTAAAAATATTGTTTTGGGACCATATAACCACCCGAATAGTAGAATATTTTTCTGTAACCGTTTGGAGCGTAGATTTTTAAAGAATATTTTTTCTGGGACCATACAATGTTTAGTTTTTTAAAGAATGATTTTTAATGCACCATCCAAGGCGTAGATTTTTCCAGAATATTTTTACTGGGACCATCCAAGGCCTAGATTTTTAAAGAATATTTTTTCTGGGACCATCTGAAGTGTTGAGTTTTAAAGAATATTTTTTCTGGGACCGTCTGAAGCGTAGATTTTTAAAGAATATTTTTTTCTGGGACCATCCAAGGCCTAGATTTCTAAAGAAAATTTTTTTGTGGGCCCACCTGAAGAATAGATTTTCAAAGATTAACTGTTTTGGGACCATCTGAAGCGTAGATTTTTAAAGAATATTTTTTTCTGGGACCATCCAAGGCCTAGATTTCTAAAGAAAATTTTTTTGTGGGCCCACCTGAAGAATAGATTTTCAAAGATTAACTGTTTTGGGACCATCTGAAGCGTAGATTTTTAAAGAATATTTTTTTCTGGGTCCACCTGAAGAGTAGATTTTGAAAGAATAACTTTTTTGGGACCATCTGAAGGTTTTTAAGAGAATATTTTTCTAGAGAAGATTTTTTACAACAAATCCTTTTAAATTTCTCCCCTTTCCTCTAGTGCTCAAGGTGCCGAACAACAATGCTGTTACGATCGTTATGGATTCCTTATGCTGTCACAGGATCAAGTATGGGGTTCACGGCCACGACGCATTCACAACTTAGGTAAAATGCCCTGGAACGAAGCTAGTAAAGTGCCCACGCTCTCAACATGGTTCCACGATATGCGTCCCTTCTATTCGTGCTGTTATTGGCAAGAAGAACAGGCAGTCGGTTGTGAAACCTATCGTTTTGAACGACGTCCATCCCAAGATTGTGTAGCCTATCAGGCTCCCGGTGTTGCAGGTGTCTTTGGTGATCCTCATTTCATTACATTCGATGGTACTCAATATACCTTTAACGGGCTGGGTGAATTTGTTCTATCGCGTAGTGTTGATGCCGATCAGAGATTTGAAGTACAGGGTCGATTTGAACAAGTACCAAATAATGTATATGGTCCAGTACCTGCTACCCAATTGACTGCTTTGGCTATGCGTGGTAATACAACAACAACAATTGAAGTGCGTATCCGTCCTCAACATGCTCGCTGGCGTTACAAGATGGACGTTTTGGCCGATGGTCGTCGTGTCTACTTTGATCGTGAATCGCTGAAATTCCAACATTTTGATGGTGTCACTGTTTATACCCCTACCTATTTGTTGAATCAGTCCCAGGTTGTGGTTATGTTTGATTCTGGTATTGGTGTGGAGGTAATCGAAAATGAGGGCTTTATGACGGGTCGTGTTTATTTGCCATGGAACTTTATTGTAAGTTTGAAAAAAAAACACATCATTTGAATTTTTAAAAATTTAAAATTTTGTATATTTTAGAACAAAACCGCCGGCTTGTTTGGCAACTGGAGTTTCAATCCCATGGACGATTTCACTTTACCCAATGGCCAGGTGCTGAATATCAATCCCACCGACTTTAAATCGATTCACAATCAATGGGCCATGCATTGGATGTTGGCTGATCGTGATTTGCCTGGCTTGGGAGCTGCTTTGTTCACACGAGAATTTGGTCGTACAGCAAGTTACTTTTCAAATGCCTCCTTTGTGCCGAATTATATACAGGAGCCGGCCAACTTCCTGCCAGCAAATCGATCATATGATATTGAAAAAGCCGAAGATCTGTGTGGAGAATCGTATCAGTGTCGATATGATTATGGCATGACGCTAAATCGAGATTTGGCCCACTTTACGAAAAATTATTACGATAGTTTGATTAATATAAGGACATTGAATTCACAGTAAGTGTAACAACTGACCCATTTTTTATGTATTTTTCCCTAATAAAATGCCTTTCTCAGACGTGTGGTATCCTGCGGTGTCTTGGAAACACCTCGTTTTGGCCGTAAATTGAGTTTCAATTTCATGCCCGGTGCCAAGGTATCATTTGAATGTAACGAAGGTTTCGTTCTAATTGGCGATCAAAGACGTGAATGCTTGTCCAATGGTTTGTGGAATATTCCGGAATACGGTTATACAACTTGTCTACGTAAGTTTCAGAGACTTTTCGTTTTTTCTTTTCTTATTTATTTTACAAGAAGTTATTGGCGGTGTTATAAAGTGAGGAATGATACACTTTTATTTTAAAATTGAAAAGGGTATGTCAACTTTAAAGGTAAAGCGTAAATATTTAAGAGACCTATCATAGATAGATATTTAAAGAATTATTTTTGGTGGACCATTGGAGGCGTACAATAATTAAAGAACTATTTTTTAAATCTACTTTTCCGATAGTGTGAAGTAGATAAAAAATAATAATATTGAGGATCAATCGGGGTCGTAGTTTCTTTTAAAATATTTTTGATGGTACATCGGCGTAGATTCTTTATATAATCATTTTTGAGGGACCATCGGAGGCCAATATAATCATCGTATCATGAATCGTATATTTCTTAAAAACACACACTTTTTTCTGTGATAAACTAAAGAGTAGATTTTTAAGAATATTTTTTCTGAGACCATCGGAGGCGTAGATTTGTATAGAATTATTTTTGATGAACCATCGCAGGCGTAGATTTTTAAATTTTTTTAGTGGACCATTGGAGGCGTAGAATTTTTAAAGAATTATTTTTTTAAGAATAATTCTTCTGAGACCATCGGATGCGTAGATATTTTAAAGAATATTTTTTCTGCGGCCATCGGAATCGTAGATATTTTAACGAGTAATTTTTCCAAGACAATGCTTACATTTATGAAGAATAATTATTTAGGACCAAATAAAGCGTGGATTTTTAAAATAATGTTTTTAGGTCCCATTGATGCTAGAATTTTTTTAAAAAATATATTTTAGGGCCCAGTGAAGAGTGGTTTTAAGGCATATTTTTAGGAACCAAAGAAACGTGGATTTTTTAAAGAATACTTTTTAGGAATTAATGAAGGGTTGATTTTTTTAAAGTATATTTTTTAGGACCCAATGAAGTGTGGATTTTTTAAGAATATTTTAGGACCCAATGAAGCGTTGATTTTTTAAGAATATTTGTAGGACCCAATGAAGCGTGGATTATTTATTTAAGAATTAAAGGCTTGGACAGTTCCTGAAGAAATATTCTTAAAAATTCGCGCCATGGGTAGTGAAATAAAATTTTTAAAAAATATAAATAATATATAAGCCAAAAATCTTATGATCGTTATAGTTCTTGGGTAGTCCCTAATAAATTTAAGCCCAATCAAAATTATGATCTTTATAGTAACTAAATAATAGTCTTTAAGGATCCATGCCTAGGGTAGTCCTTGAAATAAATTTTCTTTAAGGATCCATGCCTTGGGTAGTCCTTGAAAAAATATTCCTTAAGGGGACCCCCCCCCCCCGTTCTCGGTTTCAAAAAATTTAATTTTGTATTTTGATTTAATTCGAACCTACATTAATTCAATTCTCTATAAATTTTCAAGTGAAATAGCCGATTTATTGTGCTAGCATCAAGTGACGGCAAGAGGGCTTCTCAAACTTAAAACGCATTTTTCTCCAAACCGCGTTTTGGCGGGCACGATAACTCTAAAACTAATAATCCGATCGATTCCAAATTTAGGGACATTTTTCTGTGAGTGTATTTTTTAACTTAGTTTGTGGTCAAAAATAGGTGATTTTCCAAAAAAAAAAAAAAAAAAACAGTAAGGAAAGTAGTAAAGTCGGACGGGGCCGACTATATGACACCCTTCACCACGTTGGGTATATCCAACTATTGAATCATAACAGACGTCAAATTTTTAAAGGTCCAGGGACAAAATTATGTAAATCAATTTAAATCTTAACCGATTTCAACTAAACTTGCCACACATTATGTTATAGTAACTTCAGTACGTAGTGCAAAATTTTGTGCCGATTGGACCCACATTGGTGAAGAATTTATATCCAACTTCTAGGTTATTCTAACTCCAGTACGTTGTGCAAAATTTGTGTCAATTTTGTGTAAAATCGGACGACACATTTTACATTAAATCGGACGAAAATATTTTTACGAAACTTAACACACATTATTCTATACCTAATTCATTACGCTATGCCAAATTTCATGAAAATTGAAAGATATATAGGGACTTTGGTACACCATTTGTCTTAAATCGGACGAAAATATATATGGGAGCTATATCTAAATCTGAACCGATTTTTCCCAATTTCAATAGGGTTCGTCCTTGGGCCAAATAAGTGGCTTGTGCCAAATTTCATCTACATCGGATCATAAATGCGACCTGTACTTTGTTTACAATTTAACATCTACAGACGGACGGACGAACAGACATGCATAAATCGACTCAGAAAGTGATTCTATGCATATTCTCAAAAGGAACCATGTGTCTATCTCGTTTCCTTTTGCCTGTTACAAACATATGCACAAAGACATAATACCCTGTACCACAGTGTGGTGAAGGGTATAAAAATTTAAATTATTTCTTGCGCGAAGTCAATAAATCTTATTCATACGAGAGCCAGACATGTACTCTTTCTATCACCGTTGGAATTTTCCCTTAAGGCGTGGACCCGCTTTGGGTAGTCCTTGAAAGAAAAATCCTTAAGAGTCCACGCTTAGGGTAGTCCTTCAAAAAAAATAATCAAGAGGCCACGCTTTGGGTAGTCCTTGAAAAAAATCCTTAAGAGTCCACACCTTGGGTAGTCCTTGAAAAAAAATTCCTTAAGAGTCCACGCCTTGGGTAGTCCTTGAAAAAACATACCTTAAAAATCCACGCCTTGGGTAGTCTTTGAATTACATATTATTTTATAATCCACGCCTTGGGCAGTCTTTGAAAAAAATATTCTTTAAGGATCCACGTCTGGGGTAGTCCTTGAAAAACAATTTCTTTAAGGATCCACGCCTTAGGTAATGCTTCAAAATGTGTTTCTCAAAATTCTACGTCATCGTCAGTCCTTGAAAAAAAGATTTTTAAGAATCAACGCCATAGATAGTCTTTAAAAATCTAAGTTTCAGCCCTTATTAAACTTCTTTGAATAAATAAATCCCCCTTAATTCCACGTTTTTTTAGAACAAGTTCCAAAAAATATTTGTACAAACTAGCTTTAGAACATTAAGAATTCGGCATAAAACTACGAGCATAGTCCATTCTCCTTAAGAATTCCAAATGCCTGTCCTTCAAAAAAGTATTTAAGTAAAATTTGGCTCTTTCAAATTATATAATAGCAAATACGTTAATCCTGCAAATATAGACCTATAAAATACAGTTTAAAAATTAAGCTTATAGTCTTCTAAGAATTCCATTGTAAAAGATTCAAGGGTATTAGCTATCCTCTCAAAAACCTCGCCAAATAACTTCCTTCAATTTTTATTTATTCTTACCATCCTTTTTATAATTTTTCATCAATGCATATCGAATTTTATTTCAAACATCTCTCTCATTAACATATAATTTTTCCTCAATCGAATAAACCCCTTAACTTCGTTCCACGTTAAACAACTACAAACCTCCCCCATACAGGTGAAGTTTTCTATACCCGACGTGTGGCTTTCATAGCAATTGGCATTATCATAGCTGTTATCCTGCCCCTTATGCTGTGCATTGTTTGTGGTGTCTATCGTTTCCGTCAGAAACAATTGAAGGAGGATCCTCAATGGCAAATGACGTTGCCCCGTTCTCGTGCCTCATCGCGTACCAACCTCCGGGCTCTGAATGCAAATGGCGATTATGACAGCGATACGGATGCAACGGGAACTCTTAAGAAAAGTAGGTCATATGATAAAGTTTATCGAACGAATGAACCATTACCGGGCAAACCACGCATTGATTTTCCAGCTAAAAAATGGGATCTGGACGATGGGGATGTGACATCATCAGAAGGTAGTGAAAATAAAGATACAAAATTAGCAAAGGATATTGAATACATTAATAAAACAGGTGAGAAGCCGAAGCAGATGGGTCGTCGTTCGTTGCGTGGCGTATCGGGTACGGATCAGGATCAGTTGCCGGAACATGACGAGCATGATGAGCAGCATCAGGGCGCTGGAGTTGATCACAATGAACATGATGATGATGGTGTGGGTGTGCCACACCCGGCGGGTTATCATCAACCACCCTCACCCGAGGCTGATGAGCATGATGAACATGGATTGCCGTTGCATCAACAACCACACCCGGCCAGTGGCGTCGCTCAGGGCCAGTACAGTCCAACATTTAGTGGTGCCGATAGCAGTTTCAGTGGTGAAAGTTATCATCCCAATAACCCGCCAGCAACACGTTATGGCGGTGTACCCGTATTGCCGAATGCCAATAGTCAGTATTTCAATAGGCCACCATCTAGTTTGCCACTGGCAGGAACAACTACTGCCCCAGCTCCAGTGCGTCCGGCCCCCATTGTGGGTACTCCTCTGACCCAGGATAATGGTTTGCCTTCACCTCCCCATGCAGCATCCCCCACCCCATCTGCCCTTAACCAAAGATCCACTGAAGTCTAACAAACTAATTCATAACAAAAAATAATGACAAGTAAAAAACTAATCCCATAAACGACAATAACAACCCATAACCCATCATAAACCCCGATCCACCAAAAAAAAAAAACCAAATAACAACAACATCAAGAAAATGGTATGACATTCATTTTGGCATTGGAAAAATTTTTCTCTATAATACACTTCGGCAACTCATGGGGTCTTGTCATGCGGTAAACATTTATTCCATCACTACCACTACAATTACAGAACCGATCATTACAAGCTATCAAGTTCAAATTGTAATAATTTTAATTTTTAATGTTTTTTAATATAATTGTTTAAAGGAATTCATATACTATATCTATTTTTTTAATTTTTTATGTAACTAAGAAATCATAAACGCTAATAAAAATAATTAACATTCATGCTAACATTAAACTTAAATGTTGGTTACAGAAAACAAATCGCTTCAAAATATGTTTTTCATTGTAAAATCCATACAATCGCTGGGTATAAAGTCAGTCCATTCCATTAGCATTTTATGACATAGAACATGGATATAAGGACCCTTTTTCTGAATGTCAAATGCATATTAACATTAGAAATATTTTCCTTGAGAATTTTGTCAACAGAAAATATTTTGATTTATAGATTTTTGGTTCTTTAGTAAAATATCAAGATTTGACCTCCAGAAATTGGCTCCGTACATCGATATATGTGTCTGTTTGTATTTATTATATTAAAAAATATCGAAAAACATATAACAACTAAACGCTTTATATAATATTAATTTTACCTTACAGCCGTTTTTAATATTTAATTCATTCTCATTTTTGTTGAATTCTTAATTTTTTGGATTTAAAATTTATTTTATTTTTTATTTGTTAAAATATAAAAAATGTAAATCCTGAATTTTTTTAACGTAAATATATTTCAAAATTTTATTTTGTTTTAACAAAATATTGAATATTTTACTTTAATTATTGTTTTTTAGCAAATATAAGCCTACCAAATATACTCCCGACATATTAAAATCTCTTGGGAGTTTATTTGCGGCACCTCGAAATATTATTTATTGGTGTAAGCTTCTATTCCGATTTAATCATGTGCCTTCCTATTTCCCAATTGAATGGATACAAATTTATCATTCCGTGTTCTTGGAGGACAAAAACGTCTTCGCAGAAAAATTTCAATTTAGGTGACCATACGTATTTAAAATTTAAAAGGGGTAAACTGTTTCTGTAGAGGCTTATAGGACAATGATTTGACATTGTCCCATATAGAAGTTGGGCGCCACTTAAAGTATTTTAAAGGTTCTAGTCACATTTTCCCACCTATATATATATATATATATATATTTGGTATTTCCGTTACTACAAATACTTCCTAGCAGAAATTTGTCAATGACGCGTAAATAAGGGCTCAACTGGTTTACTGTTATTTTAAACCTAACACTTCTCTAGTGTATAAACAGTATAATGAAAACAATTTTGAAAAATTGTCATTAAAATCGCATATGAAGCCCTCCACACCATCTTACATCGAGTTCTATATGTTTACGTTGTAGCATTGTTTTATGGTTAGTATCGTTAGTTGGACATTCCATTGCACAAGTCAAAATATTCACCGAATACCGCATAAAGTATACATATTTCTGATCAGAATTAAATTCCATCTGAATTTAGCCATGCAATGTCCGTCTGTTGATAGCACGTTAGAGGTCGTAATATTTAAGATATCTGCTACAATTTGTACTTCTATGATCCTTCAAAAACTTCTTTAAAAATCTAAGCTTTAGTCCTTCTAAAATTTCTTTAAAAAATCTAAGCTTTAGTCCTTCTAAAACTTCTTTATAAATGTAAGCTTTGGTCCTTCAAAAAATTATTTAAAAAATCTTCCAAAACTTCTTTAAAAATCTAAGCTATGGTCCCTCAAAAACATCTTAAAACCAGTGAGCGGAGCAGTATAGTCGGACGGGGCCGACCATACGATACCCCACTCAACTACCACAGAACTCTATCTTTCTGAGAATTTTTATTCCGGGCCTGGGTAATATTTCGTGCACAATCTTGCCCGATTAAAGGTCAACAGCACCTCTTCCTTACACTGACATATTTTCCGAATATTACCAATATTCAGTACAGCCATTCAAATTATTTGTCCCGTGTTTTTTTTTGTGATGTTTGGCTTATAATTGTAGCCTATATATATCGAATCGAAAAAAAGTTTTCGGTCCACTTCATCCCAAAATTATTATCTGATCATTACCGAAAATTATAGGCGTTGTCCATGCTATATTTACGCCCTCCTATGTAGTAATGGTTTTATTAAATAATATCTGAATACCTAAGTACCTGTAAATATTTACGTGTAACTCCCACATCCGAGTACATGTGACAATATAATTGGTATCAATTTAAAGGTCAAGCACTCCTCTTGTATATACTATCAACTTCAACTATCAACTATAATACCCTGACAACATAGTTGTGTAGGGTATAAAAATCTACAATTTGGTCCTACAAAAACTTCTTTAAAAAATCTACGCTTTAGCCCTTCAAAATATTTTTTAACGGTTTGGTCCTCCAGAAAACTTTTCAAAAATCTACGCTTTGGTCCTTCAAAATATTATAAAAGAATTATGCTTTGTGTCCTTAAAAAAATTAGAAAAAAATAATGATTTTGTCCTTAAAAAAATTCTATAAAAATCTTAGCTTTGGTCCGTAAAAACAAATTTGTAAAAATCTTCGCTTTAAAAATCCACGTTTTGGTCAATATTGGCCCATGTTTTCGGGTATACCCAATATATACGGCATTTTGGGCACGTTTTTCAATGGAATTGGAGTAAAATTATCCTCCATATATCTTTTCCCCAAAATTTTTGATATTTTGATTCCAGATACTTTTTCTTTCGAATAGTTTGTAATTATATATTTTTTGTGTTCATTAGGTGACAAATGTTTCTTATAAAAAAATGATCATGGACCGCTATTGATAATTTTTTACAAGAGACATTTGCCACCTAATGAATAGTATAGTCCCCTAATATAATGGAACCCCATATTTTCTCATTCGATCTCGTTCGATGGCAATTATCCCCACCAATAATTTCGTTTCTACGACAGAGGGGTTCGACCCGATCCGAAACGACCCGAGTCTTACTCGGCCAACGTCTGTCACCTCAGCCCATTGTGTAAAAGCAATAGGGCTGCTACAACAACAACCAATAATTGTACATGTCGATCATTGGTTATAATATCCTTATAAAGGTTCACCCCCTTAATAGGTTTTTGGATGGTATTAGACACATTTCCCAAGAGAAATGATTATATTTTTACATTAGAGATTTATTAGAATTTAAGAATTTTTTCCTGTAGGTTTTTTGAGATTTTTTTATTCGAGGGTGTGAAATTTTAAATCCTAAGGCCTGGATTTATTTGAGAATATATTACAGTCAAATATATAGTCGTGTCTTATTTAAAAAGTGATTTTTCAGAGGAAAATACCTTTGAAAAATAATGTAAATTTCCAACAGACTGTTAATCCATTGTTTAAAATATTATTTTCTTATGTCCTTTTCAATATTTTACAACAATAGACTTCCAATCAGAACCTCTTTTTTCTTTAATTGTATTATTTTCTTTTCGCCTTTGTTAATGTATTGTTGTTTTTTTAATTGCTAAATTTTCAATTAATTCCATTATCCTTTTTATTCACCTATCTAAGGACAACAAACAAACATAAACTGTCATTGCATTTTTGTTTGTATTTCTGTGTGAGTTGGGGCGTGTAATTTTTATTTTTAATTAAACATTTTACTGTTTACTTTGTTTTATTACTACTTTTTGTTGTTTTTTTTTTGCTTCTCATTTAAATTATATATGTATACGTGTGATTGTATTTTTACAGCTCTGATAATGCCAATTGTTACACAAAAAAGCCGTGCAAGTCGTGGTTTTTACACCTACAAATTAATTTGATATAAAAATGTTATTTATGTATACGAAAGAGAGAGTGTGTTTGTGTGAGGTGGCGGCTTCGATATCACCAGCATATTGAATTATTTGTTTTCGATATGGTTTATATTTTGAATTGAATTGCAAAAAAAAAAACGAAAACAACAACAACTGAAAACGAAAACAATTTATAGGGGAAAAATTAAATTGGTTTTTTATTGCAATTTTTGTGTAACAAATTGGCATTACGTTCAATAAAATGTCTCGTTAGGACATTTCATTTTCATTATTTTTTGGGGGCTTCCAAATGAAATTCATTTGGATTTTATTTGTTTTCCTTTTTTTGGTAGGTAGAAACATTTTATTTTTGATTTATGATGATTATAAAATAGGTAAGGTTTTGTATATTGTTTTTTTTTACGACTGGAAAATGTTTTATCCGTTTAGTTTGATTACTTGAATATGACCCATAATAAAAAATGGAGAATATTAAAAATGGTATAATAGTGTAGGCGAAATAAAATGATAAAAAGTATTGCTTCTCACGGATATTTAGGAAATTAAAAATGTTGAAAGAGAAAAATCCATAACCTATTAAAGCAATATTTTCATATATAAACTTTTTCCTTTCCCTAGATAGAACCAGTAAGGAAAGCAGTAAAGTCGGACGGGGCCGACTATATGATACCCTTCACCAGTTTCGGTATATCCAACAGATGAAACCTAAAAGATTTCGAATTTTTAAAGGACCAGGGACAAAATTATGAAAATCTATTATAAGCGTATATATATATATATATCAAAATCTAAACCGATTTGAACTAAACTTGCCACACGTTATGTTATAGTAACTTCAGTACGTAGAGCAAAAGTTTGTGCTTATTGGACTCACAATGGTAAAGCATTTAAAACCAACTTCTAGGTTATTCTAACTCCAGTACATTGTGAAAAGTTTGTGTCAATTTTGTGTAAAATCGGACGACACCATTTACATTAAATCGGACGAATATATATATATATATGGAAACTATATCTAAATCTGGACCGATTTTCGCGAAACTTAGC